TGTAGACGGCTTCACTGTCATGGGACTGCAGCGCCTCAATCTTGTCCAAACCGCCATACTCCTCAATGATCAGGCACACTTTCCCAACCTCACCAGTTTTTTGTGCCATCTGTGTAGAAAATGAAAGAAATCTGTAAGACCAAGAGTTCTCTCACGCAGGAGGAAAAAAAAAAAACGGTGACAGTAATCAGCTTTGTTCCTGTCCAGAAAACTGTACATGCACCAGTCTGTACTGCGATCGACATCAAATTCTGTAAATCTTCTTGTTTCCTAATCGTATATACTCTGTGTTCATCTGTTCTCCCAACAACTAAAAATAGAAAATCTCCACATCGGTTGAATTTTAAAGTCTTCTCTTTCGACTTCGTGCCCTAAAAACTAACCCTTCCAGTGTGTCTACATGTTTTTTTGCACAACAGTTCCACGTACTACTGGACACCAAATCGTCACATCATTTACTACTTCCAGATAGAGATAATATACTGCTTTGAGTGGAAAAAGTTCATTTTGTAACCAGCTTTTTTTCAGGTTCACTCATCAAGTTGCTCTCCTCATGCACGTGATCTACAATTAGGCATACTACAAACTGTGCCGAGGTGACTGCTTTTTTTTTTTAAACCTACTACAAGTGTCGACAAATTTCTAAAATATACTTCGCCGCTTTTTTTCTTTTTTTGCTGTGAAATTCAAGCTATAAAGATTTTAAACTTGCCATATAATTCTGTCTTTTTGTATGTTATGTCAGCACAAGTAATGTCAGCGTAGATGCGTCTTTCTGGCCACATTACTACTACAATCAAAAAGGAAGCAACAGGGCAAACAATGTCACTTCTGCGATTTATTTTGATATTTTATAAGCACCTGTAGAATATTTTGGATTGCATCCAGGATGATGAGGATCACTTTGCTGTCTTTAGCTGTCAGTAGCCTGAGCAGGGGCGGTAGAACGTTGCAGTGGACCAGGTAGGCCACTTGGTCCACTGTTCCTCCACTGGTGTAATTGGTGACGGCCCACACTGCCTCTTTCTGGGCCTTGTAGTCTCCCTACAACAGAAAAACACATCTGAGGTTTTAGGCCAGAGGAGAGTACAAAGACAATATTACTTAAGCTGTGCCACATGAGCATTCACCAATAAACAGACCATTGAAATCAGAGGAGTTTCAGATCAGTGTCTCAGGATTTCATTAGTTCATAAAATAAGGAAATGATGCCTAATGTGCAGCAGGTTACAGAGAAGTTGGAGGGGAAAAAAAGGAAGTAATTATGCTGGTCAGCATATACAGTAATTACAGAAAGGTCAACTCTTACAAGTAATCTAGAAAACCCTTGAATGTCGGTGATGGTAGACTGTGCTATTAGGAATATTCTCACTATTCCACTAAAAACCACACTCTGGCCGCAGAAAATGTTGGAGCTCACATGCTGCACATAGTTCAAAAACAGTAATTAAGATGAGACAGACGACCAGTTCTGTCACACTGATAAGAAAAATAC